AGGGTAAACATACGCCGGATCAATCGAAGCAATAGTCTGCCCAGAACTCGACTTCACAAACTCATTGTTGATAAAAAGTCCCGTAGGCTGTTTCCACTGCCGACCATTCGGCGCCGTCAGATCGATAAAAAGGTCAAGGCCCGCCATACTCTTCGCTTAGAACCTAGCAATCCTATGAAATATAAAAACAAAGAAAGAAAGAGACACAGAAATGAGGGATCCAAAGGAAGAAACCTCTCTTTATCTACTAGTACAACTTATCGGAACCCCTCCAGCTCCCAACCAATACCAGGATCGAACACAAACCCACTCACGGCGGGGTCGAGTTCGGATAGACATGCCTGATGCAAGCAAGTCCCATTAGCGTCATAACTACTGTTTTTTTTTTTTTTTTTTTTTTTTTGAGTCTAACCTATTGCTGTTTTACTATCTACAAGTTAACCGTTAAAGAGGCGCCCTAACCCATATCCTCCAAACCGGCAAGTCACTCCGAATACAACTCACACCTTACATTATAGATTGTAGTATACAAACACCCGATAATGTCTCAACCGAGATATAAACATCCAAAACGAAAGGAAAGAGACTCCGAACTGACACCACATAAATAACCATCCCAATCCCAATAAACACTCATTAAACCTCCATAAACCACTCAACCAAAGAAACCCACAAAAGAAACACAGTACACATCCAACAAAAGAAACCCATCAAAAGAAACCAAAAAAATGACCCAAACAAAACTCACCGGGATAATGGTAGCCCTAATCACGCCCTTCACAGACGACGGGACGCGAATCGACGAACAACGCCTACAGTCCCACATCGAGCGACTGCTGTCCGCCGGCGTGCACGGCCTAGTACCCGGCGGCAGCACGGGCGAATTCACAGCCCTAAGCGTCTCGGAGCGCAAGACCCTCACCGAGCTGTGCGTGAAGTACGCCGCGGGACGCGTCCCCGTGGTCGCAGGCACAGGCGCCACCACGACCACCGAGGCGATCGAGCTCGCTGTACATGCGGCCCAGGCCGGCGCGGCAGCTGTCATGGTTGTGCCGCCGTTCTATGACCCGGTGAACTACGAGCAGCTGCGTGCTATGATGAGCGAGATCTATACGGCGTCGGGGTTGCCCATTGTGTACTATAATATTCCCTCGGCGAGCGGGTTGACCTTGACGCCTGCGCAGTTGGCGGGGATGAGTGATGTGGGGGTGAGGTATTTGAAGGATACGTCTGGGAATGCGCCGGCGTTTACGGAGCTGGTGTTTGGGCTGGGGGATAAGGTGACGGCGTTTAATGGGTGGGATACGCTTACGTTCTATGGGCTGGCGGCGGGTACGGAGGGCGCGGTTTGGGGTGCCGCGAATGTGATTCCTGAGTTGGCGGTGGAGTTGTGGGAGGCTGTTGCTGTGCGCGGGGATTTGGTGAGGGGGAGGGAGCTGTGGAAGAAGGCGTGGCCGGTTTGTAAGTTTCTGGAGTCGCATAATTATGCGGCGGCTGTGAAGACTGGGGTTGAGTTGGCCGGGTATCCTACTGGCGGGTTGAGGAAGCCGTTTACCATGTTGGAGGGGGAGTATAAGAAGGAGATGACGGGCTTGTTGCAGACTGCTGGGGTAAAGACTGTTTGATTTGTTATGATTATGAATGTTAATTATGCTTCGTGAATTCTTTTTTCCTATTTGATGTTGGTGGTGTATATGTAGGTATGGTGTTTGTAGTCTAGGGCATAGCTCTAGGGTTAGGACAGCATCGGCCAGAGCTTCTTCTGTCGGAGAACGTCCATCCAGGTAGGAATAGGTCCGCCGGACCGGTTGAACCTGAAGTACCCATCTTGCTCTTTCCAGACGGCGGTTACTACTTCCTTTGCTATGCTGAACCCTGCGAATCCGCTCTGCGCCCCTCCCTTCTCGATCCACCGGAGGAGAGTGTCGCGCTTGGACGGCGCAATGGCTTCGCACCCGGCCATGAATGCCGGCCATGCCGTGCCTGGACCGGGCACTTGATGCTGTGTCAATGCGGCATCGAAGTCCTTCAGCGCGGCAATCACCTCGTCCACGTGCGACTGCAGGATGGACGGGTGCACGTTGCGGATGCGACGGTAGAAGAAGATGACGAGGGCTGTGTTCAGCGCCCGGAGCATATGGGCATGCGGTCCGCTGGGGTTCGCTGAAGGCTCGTCTCCACCTCTCATCCGGTCTGAATTGAAGGTGCAGATCATATTCTCGAGACGAGTGGCGCGGCGCTGCAGGGCCTCCCACGCCTCGGGGTTCATGGACTTTTTCAAACTACCAGAGACTACCAGTGTGTCCATCACATTGGCTAGTCGGGTAGTTTGCGAGACCAGGCTGAGCCATGTCTCGGGGATGCCGTAGATCTCGCTGTAGAGGGTGTCCACCCAGCGGCGCGAGTCTTCCAGGTGAATGTCTTGGAGGGCTACCTCGCGCTCTTTGGGCGCGTCAATGTCCAAGTCACTGTCTGATTGACGGGGTTGCATGAGAAGGAAGTCGTCTAAGCGGGCATCTAACCCGCTTCGTCGACAGTTCTCTTGACTTAGCGCATCGTCGCGGGGTTGGAAGTGGTGGTTGAATGCTTCGATGAATGCGGCGGACGGGGTGTAGTCGTGAAGGATGTAGGTGCTCTCTCCTACGATGCGAATCCAGGTATATATGTGATGCAGGACCCGCGCCTTGCGAGAGATCTCGCGCTTCGATAACCCACGCAGACGCATAAGACGCTCGGCATCGATCATGTAGCATCGAGCATCCTTCTGGTGGCCGGAAAGGATCTAGCATGGTCAGCTGTATGCAAATGTAGAGAAATGCAAGAGGTCTAACTGCAAAGGCGGCCATTGCTGAGATGGCCATCAATTGGTCCTTGTACTTGGCCTTTTTTGGGCCATTGATCTCTAGTTTCAAGGACTGCTGAATGTGGTCCTTTGCCCTATGATATGTGTGGTGGGTGATTTGCTTCCAGTGTTCAGCTGAGTGTGGGGACTCATAATTAGAATTGACGCTTAGGTGATGTGCAGAGCAAGCAAGAAGGGAATAGAAGTTAGCTAGCTTCGCATGATTGAGGCCCTGCCCTCCAAGATACGTCAGGTCACTTAGAGTCAGCACCGCCGTGGGGATGTGTAGTATTTTCCAAGGAGACTTTTGCCCCACGGGCAATGTCATCATTTGCCCAATAACATTATCTTGGAAGTGTTTCAAGAGGAATGGCGAGTCTGCTAGTATATCGCTGGGCGGAGAGACAAGATCCACCCCCATTTGCTGCGGCAGCGAGTCGATCTCATACACAGAAAGAGTATAGTCTTGCGCGTCGTGAGACACATCATCCAGCGCGCTCCTGCACATCGAAGAATAGAAATTATGACCATGTCCACCCTGGTCCAAGTCACCAGAAGCCAATCCGGACATCAGATCCGAGCCCAGGCCAAACAAATCCGCCCAATGCAGGAACTCATCCGCCCCGAGAAGCGGGTCCGTCACCGACGACAATAACGGATCAACTTCCAGCCCTTCATCGGCAGGCCTGCCGGTGTCATGCTCTTGACTCGTCTTCTCCGAGGACACATGCTGGGGATGATCCGTGCTCACCGAAGGATCCAGCTTCAGCACGCCAAACGGACCCACCGCGGCATCACCCGCAGATGAGCACTCTACTTCCTTGGACTTACTGTCGACCTCCAGCAACAACGCATCAACGGTGCTCGATGCCAAGTCCGCAGTCAAAGCCGTGCTCATAGACGCCCTCGACTTCTCTACAAAACCGGCAAGGTCAGTCCACAGGGCCATAGCGTATCGTAAATGCGGGGTATGTGATCTCACCTGTATACAGATGGCGTCTAGTGCCATGGACTTTCCCAGCCGGTTTCTCCGCATCTCGTTTCTTGGGGTGCGGTACCCGAGAATGGGTTTTGGAGGACATCCATCGGATCTCCGTGGAATAACCTTCACACGGAACTCCGAATGCCTGGCAGGTCAGACAACTAGGCTGCAGCTGGTCACATTTCACATGGCGGCGTCGACAGGTCTGACAACCGCCCAGGGTATGTGTCCGACGTGGTTTGTTCTTCCGCGTGGGGGGCATTATCACTGGTTATTGCGTGCTGCATAGGTTAAGCACGAGTATATGAGATACCAGGAATATAATGTTGGATGTAGAGTTGAATTCATTGTCGATATGTTGTGTTTCGGAATCGCTTTCCTTTTTGGTGTTTGCCCGCGCTAATCCGTTTTCAGTTGTGCTGGGGTTTATTCACTATGGTTTACATCTCGACAACCCTATGATTTGAGAATGAATGTCCTCGATACATATCTTCATGCTAGTGTCAGTGGAGTTTAAGGTGTCCGACTCTATGCCAGTTAGGTTTATCCTCAGTCATCAAGCATTAATCAATATTACTTGGACATGCCTATCCGTCGACATAGCCCTAATTTAGCTTGCCCTATACTGAAAATCTGGGATCTCAAGATGATCAGTAAATGACAAATAGACAAGCTGATTCAGACAAGGCCTCGCAAAACAAAAACAAAATGTTATCGAGCAGTATCAAGTGCGCCATGTCTATCGGAAACACTTTCCTTGGCCCATCTCACTTCCCCACAGGTGACAGGAGGCAATTGCCAAAATATTAAGTTATCATAAGAACCAAACTACTCAATTTACCCCCTTCAAGTATGATACCACTTCAATCTTTGACTCTCCTGTATGTCATTCATATTAAATAATATTCGCCAACCCTGTCACCGAATTCACCTCAACGAGCGAACGCACCCACGGCCGTAAGAAATCTAGAAATAATCCAACGACCAAGACGGACGGTATATTGGATGGGGTTTGATTAAACGCAGAGTCCGTGTTGTGATTTGTAGTTGAACTTCATGTATACAGACAACAAGACATGGAAAACAATTTCAGGTTCACTGAACAATTGAATAAGGGAAGATAACATCGCCATGGTAAAGAAACAAGATCAACTAAAAAATGTTGAAAAAAACAAGGGCCCGAACCGTGGTTCGAACACGGGGCCTCTCGCAGATTGGATGAAGAACCCAAAGCGAGAATCATACCACTAGACCATCCGGGCCTGCTTAGTAATTAGATATAATTAAATGCCTAGTCCATAGATCACACATTAGGAGTCAGATATCCTGGTACAATGGCACAACATGTGCATGCCCTTGATAATATTGGAAGTTAGCAAGCCCTATCTATACATAGCAACAAGTGTATCAAGTATCTGTAGTTGATCTTGTGGTGACATGTAGCTCAGACGGTTAAGTATCTAGATTTGGAACAGAGCCAACCCGCGCAGATAACCACCGGGTTTACCACATAACAATCCTATCAATAGCCAGCCATGACAATTATATCTTTCGAGTAAAGAATGTACGATTGATAAGAACTAAAACATGGTGCAATTCAAATGGCCTCTGCTATGGTAACACAGCAGCGAAAATGAAGGGGCAAAAAAAAGAATATAGGCCCGAACCGCGGTTTGAACGCGGGACCTCTCGCAGATTGGATTGTTCACCCAAAGCGAGAATCATACCACTAGACCATCCGGGCTATTGATGACAAAAAGTCATTATTAGAGATATATACCCCGCCAACAACTGTATCTAATTCTTCATCCATGTACCACATGTGTTGCAAACCCGAAAATACTTATGAAAATATATATAAGTATGGATCATTTACAAGGTTTATGCTTTTCATAGAGCTAAAACCCTATCAAAATTAGCTTGAGATAAGTATGATGTCAAAAATAACATCAAACACGTGATACCTTGCTTGGATAAAAGTGTCAAGTATATAATGGTCTTTATCGAGCTACTGGCATGTCGGCCCGACAGGTTGCTCCGGCGAACAGCACCAGAACTAAAGCCAATACCTAGCTCTTTTTATTTAGCAAGGGAACAATGGCGAGAAAGCGCTTATTATACTTTCTGACAAAACGGTCCTGTTCACCATTGTCTAACCCTGGAAACCTTCCCCGTCTCAACGTCTTCTCTACTGCTTCGCGCACAGGTGCAAGTAAGCGTGGGATAGCCGATCTCCATTCTTCTTTAAAACCACGTGTGTTCCCTACTTCGGGGTGGGAGAGCATTGAGCCCTCCCTACCAGTCGAGGAGGAATCAATCCCTACGTACAAGCCCGAGAAATTCTACCCAGTTCACATCGGCGAAGTGTTCAATCGTCGATATCAAGTAGTCGGCAAGCTGGGATATGGATCCAGCGCGACAGTCTGGCTTTGCCGTGACTTCTTGTAGGGCAAACCGACCCTCACATCCTTTAAACCAGCTAACAAGGCAGGGAGCACTGCTATATAGCATTGAAAGTATATACTGCGTCAACAACAGCATTCCAAGAGATTGAAATCTACAATCATTTGCACACGCTCCAGTCCACCCATGCGGGTCACTCGTGTCTACGCCAACTGACCGAGATTTTCCAAACCCCGAGTCCAGATGGACGCAGTGTTCATACGTGTCTGGTGCACCCGCCTCTGGGAATCAGCCTCGACCAGCTCGTGCAACTTCTCCCAGATCAGGTCATGAATAGCGTCATGGTGAGAACAACCATTCGAAATATCCTTGCCGCTTTAGACTTTTTGCACACAGAAGCGCAGGTCATACATACCGGTTTGTACCAATTCATGCATAAATAACTAAGCGCCATATCATATGGTGGTTCAAAAGCAGGATGTCTAAGTTCTAACATACGACTTAGATATCCAACCTAATAACATTCTCCTCGGCATCAAGGACAATTCAATTCTCGCCAAATTCGAGGAAGCAGAATTTGAAGCACCTGTGCCGCGAAAGACCCTCAAAGACCGGACTGTTTATCTTTCACGACCGCTCCCCATCTCGTATGGGACGCCCGTTCTCTGTGATCTGGGCGAGGCTCGAATAGGTACAGACCAGCAACACGGTGACATCATGCCAGACATATATCGAGCACCGGAGGTCATTCTAGACATGACCTGGGACTATAAAGTCGACCTCTGGAACGTTGGCATGGTGGTAAGACAACTATCTATGCAATCATATGATTTCGTCAGACCATTGAAAGCTGACCATGCACAAGATCTGGGACCTATTCGAGCGCCGCCACCTTTTCAGGGCCTGGAACCCCGAGCGTAAATTAGATGATGGATATCATCTCGCCGGGATGCAGGCGGTGTTGGGACGCCCCCCTCGCGAGTTCCTCGCCCGGAGCGACAGGAGCCTCCAGTTTTGCGATGAAAATGGTATGTGCAGTCTGACCTACCGTCCAAACTTCCAAAAGGAACGTTGTTTGGCGTTAACAATAGCTTTAACAGGCGAATGGAAAGGTGCAGCTCCCCTCCCAGATGAAAGCCTGGAGGCACTGGAAGGAAGACTCCAAGGTGATGAAAGGGAAGACTTTCTCCGTTTCCTCCGACGGATGCTATGTTGGCTACCGGAAGAGAGAGCCACTGCGAAAGAACTTTTATTCGATCCTTGGCTCATGCATGGTCTTTTCAAGCCGAGTAAATCTTGACATAAGATTTAGAGTGATTTGCTCGGTAGTGTTTTACTCTGTTCAAACGAGCTAGTACATTATCAGATATCAACCAAACCTCTTTTACTAGTACGATGTGCATTCAGAAACAGAATAATCACTTCAGCAGAACCTATAGGCTATTGGGGACATATCAGCAAGTATAAGCCAGAAAAAGCCATGCCACTTGTATCTAGTTCTGTTGAAAACCATAACCAATGTAGAACACAACCCTAAACTATAAAACAGTGCACGTCATCAAGTCTACCAGCAATATTGCGGGGTCATCAAACACATTCCAACAAAGAACCCACCCCCGCCTTACCCAACATCTACATCCATCTTCCATTCAAATCAACTATAACAAAAACCATCAAAATGGAGCCCAAAACATGGAAAATGCTAGGCAAACCACCCCTCACCACCTCAAGCGTCACAAACTAATAAACAAAAGAAAACAACCCCACAGTAATGAACCAACTAGCCCAAAAACTAGGCCTATCACCACACGTCCAATTCCACGATGTCTACACCCTAGACTCAAACCCGCATATCCCGCGCCCCGCATTAGCCCTCCTAGCCATCATCCCCCTCACGCGCGCATGGTCCCTTACCCGCACTGCCGAAGACACCAACAACCCCACATACGCCGGCTGCGGCCCAGACGAGCCCGTAATCTGGTTCAAGCAGACAATCGGAAACGCCTGCGGGTCCATCGGGCTGCTGCACAGCGTGATCAACGGTCCCGCGGCGGAGTTTATCATCCCCGGTTCTAAGCTCGATGATATCCGGCACCGTGCGATCCCGTTGTCCGTGGCTGAGCGGGCGGATATGCTGTATCATCATGGGGGGTTTGAGGCGGCGCATAGGGCTGTCGAGGAGGTTGGGGATACGCGCGCCTCGGAGGGCGATGGGCATGCGGGCTTGCATTTTGTGGCGTTTGTCAAGGCTCGCGGGCGGTTGTGGGAGTTGGAGGGGGCGAGGGGCGGTCCGTTGGATCGTGGGGGACTGGGGGAGGATGAGGATGTGCTTAGTTCTAGGGCTTTGGAGTTGGGGATTAAGAGGGTTATGGGGGGTGGGGAGGAGGGGGATTTGAGGTTTAGTTGTCTTGCTTTGGCTGCTGTGTAGGGAGCTTTTCCGTAATGCGTATGTATAGCACTGGTGTATATATACTTATTATATACTAGGATACGTATACGGGCTTTTGGTCAAGAGCCATTCGGAGCCTGCTTCACTATCAGTAGTACCATGGACAACCGGATCAGAGTCCACATTGCACCCAATACCCCGGCATTTATCTACTTCAGCACCACACTATAGCGTCATGAATACGGGATGGTATTTCCACAAACCTGAAAAGATAGCCCTTAGTCATAGCCAACTAGTCCCTTAGCAGTAGCTATAACTAGCAGTATACAGAAACTCTAGCCGCGTTAATTTGGCCAGCCCCCTGGGGTTTCTGTATAAAGTAACCATCAGGAACTATCGACTGGATCCCATAAGTGGAGAGTGTGTGAATCACACCGGCTTCTACTATATATATCGGAATCGAGGATAGCTTGATTTATGTGCTACCCCGGTTAGGGTACTCAGCTGCAGCATTGCAGCATGAATTTGAGATTGAATAAATTGTGGCAACGCAAGTTCGATTCTCTAGAATGATAGCTCTTTTCTTTTTATATATATATTCTGTTTGGTCTCCACTTTGTCTTGATAAGTGTGGGTCTTGGTATACTTGTGATATCAGAGCGCGTACAACTTACGATTTATCACCATATTAATACTATTTTGTTTCCTGTCTTGGACTCGGATTAAATATACTTTGTTAGCTAGAGATGGAGAAATTCGTGATCTCATTCCAGTATCTGATATTTCAAGATGGACATAGGTTAAGACGATTTATAGTTGAGATATCGAGTGAATGTTCATTATATTCGTCAAGCAATCTAGTACACAGGATACAACTCACAAAGTAGACTTAGACAAAAGTCCCAACGCAACAGCCTCAATGCGAACCGTCTCCGCAATCTCCTCCTGCAACGAACCCCCGGTAGGCGTCCAGCCCAAGACCTTCCGAGCGCGCTGAGCCTTCGCCCGCGCATTCGTGCCCAACAGAATCCCGGCATGAGGCGACAACTCATCCGCCTCAGCATGGTCCACCTCCTTCACATCCGTCGAGCTCAAGCCCAACTTCGTCGCCTCCTCCGCGACGCGGCGCGAGATGTCCCCGAAACTCTGCATTCGTCAGCCACAACCCACCCAAAATCCGCGGGAAAACATACAATGGCGCCATTCTCAGCGAGATAAATCCCGTTCTCGTTCCAGTACGGCCCGTCGTCTCCGGCAGCGGCCTTTTCCACCAGCGCCACGAAGATGCTGCTGATATCTGCTATATGCACGTTACTCCAGACACTGAGGCCGCGGCCGACCTGGTACCCGGTCTTGTGTTGCAGGGTGATGCGAGCCAGCTCGGGGATCTGCACGCTCCGCTGCTTGATGGGGCCTTGGCCCTGTCCGTAGATGATGGGGGGCACCACGACGGCTGTTTTGGGCGAACTGGGCGAGTTGAGGATGAAGCTGTCGACGACGCGCTTGGCAGAGTACTGCCGGATGATGCTCTTGATGTCTTCTTCGTTGTCGATGTCCCCGTATATCTTCTCCGAGGGCTCTCCGAAGACGCCCTTTTCGATCTCCGGGGCTGATAGAAGTGTAGCGCCCGATACCTGGATCCAGTATCCTTTCCAACCCCTATATTAGTACCATGCCATATAAGGTGAACATACACTCACCAGTCTTCTCCCGCGTAGGGTCACTCAGTCCGCGGAACACCGCCTCCGCACTTTCAATATGGTTAGAGGCAGCGGCGTCTATACCCCGTCAGCGATTCGTCCCAGTCAATAACAGAAAGAAGTCTTACGAACGACCACATCCGCCCTCCGCGCTTCCTCCTCAACCACAGCGAGTGAGTCAAGCTCGCCCTGCACGACCCGCACGCGGGGATAAACCTCCGCGATCTTCGCCCCTTTCGCGGCGTCGCGGAC